CACATGAAGCGTCCAATTAGAATCATCTCAAAGGATCGGGCTATTTTACTGCAGCCCATGATAAATGCTGCTGCTATCATCAGCATATTGTTGCAGAGGAGACATTTCCTTCTGTAAGTGCAAGAAAGTAAGAGGAATTTTTGTAAATCAGGAAGGAAATGGTACTTAAACTCCTGGCTTGTCAGATGTTCTGGGTGAAATTATCTTGCTAGCTTTGTCAAATGGTCCAGGGCAAAATAAGCTCTGCTATGCCCTTCTCATACTATTGGCTCTTTGTCTCCTTCATAACACAGAATGATACTGTTGTCAGCCAGCTAGCTTAGAATACGAATAGGAAGAATCCACTAGAGCCAAAGATATTATTTTGTGGTAGCAGAGAAAGGCCCTTGGAAAAGTTGAGGCCACTTCTAGATTCCATAGCAAGTGTGTGCCAGTCCCTTGATTTCTAGGACAGGACCTGCCAGACCATGCCGCCTCCCTTCTGGCTCATATGCCAAAGTTTCTTTCCCATGTAAACCAGGGACAGTGGGATGAGAAAGGCAAATAGTGTGTAGAAAGACTCAGGGTGTGGCTTGACACACAGCTAGACCTGAGAGTCTGGCAACACTTCTGGGCTCTGTAGATGAGAAAAGTCTTCAGGCTTTTCTGTACTTGAAAATCCATGCATGAAGCACATTGATTTAGCACTTTGGAACTTCTCAGTGCTGCTAAATTGTGAGTAGCACCTCCAAGAGACCCGTTCTGCCTTCAGCCAAGAGGCTGCCCTTCCTCCTCTCTGATAATAGCCCAGCCTCAGTAACTGCATCTGGTGTGACAGGTTGGCAGTACAATTAATCAGCCAGTGCTACAGGACAAGGCAAAGATGCAGCAAAATCTGTTGACACCACTGCCAAGCAGGCTATATTACAGCCATGATGAAGCTGTGGACATATGTAGTTATTTGTCTTTTGCACTATGTAGGTGTAACCTGTCATAGAAGAGAAGAGAGACAGTGTGAGGGAAGTGGTACTATATTTCATTATTCTAAAGGTGGCTATTTTCTCATTTCTTAGTATGTCTTATCTGGTTGAAGACTGATCAGTACTTTCACAGAGCTATGCGGTTTATGCTTTGGAATCCTAAAAGTCTGCCTCACGTTCAAAAACCTCAACCGTCATTTCTTTTAGTCAATGTTTGATTGACAAATTGTCTTGAAACATACATACTTGCCGTACTTGACAGTCAAGTATCTACTTCCTGAAGAACCCAAGAGACCTCCTATACCAGTGATGGACACAATGAAAGACCACAGAAACAAGAGGTTATCCTGATGGATGGGGTAGCCATATCGTTCCAACCAAGTTTCATTAATGAAAGCCTTAACGTGCTGAGAAAGAGGAAAGAATTTTCATTAAGAATAACTGTGACTCCAGTGCATGTATTTTATTCTATTTAGAACATAGTTTCATTGCTTCAGCCAAAGTTACCACTTCAGATAGATGCTAGAAGTGTTTGTTAATAGACATAGTGTAATAGAATATGGTATTTTCATTTTGCCGTTAAAATTAGTTCATTCTTTGTTTTATTATTCTTTAAATATGAGAAACTGAGGCATGGACTTGTAGTGAAGAACAGCATCAACTTCCCTATGGAGTTCTGCAAATGCATTTTACGTTTTTTTCTCTCTGACATGTTTCTCTCAGAAACAGGCCAATGCTGCTAGATTGTACAATGCCTGTTCGGTGCCATTCCCTGGATACTTCCTCACTCAGAACTTAACTGCTCTGAAGCCTGAAAATACCACTTTTGCTGTAAGGGGATTTCTACTTAATAATAGTGTCTTCTCCCAAAGCCCCAGCTTCTTCAATGGAAATATATTAGGAGTTTTAACTGTGATCAGTGGGGGGAAATAAACATTCTCCTAGAGCATGGTTCACCTGATTGTTGTATTTGTCTACCCTACGTGACAAAAGGTAGACTACAAGACTATCAAATGATACCACTGAAGTAGGCATATGTAGTGTGATCTTAATTTAGGGGAGACAAATTCCACCCCAGTCAGTATGTTTCTTCTGAGGAACAGTTCTATCAACAACAAGTTGCAGGTCTCTCTCTTCTCTTTTGTTTTCTATATTTTGATGTGCTCTGCCTTACAGGGTAACGTCATAAGGGGAAAGAATCATAAGAGGAGAATACTGTAATTAAACCTTTACTGACTGCCAGAGAGGAGCATCCTCAAGCAGGGATGTAGGCTCAGTGCCACCTGTAACCAATGTGCCATGTGAGTCTTTGCCTACCTGAGACATGTAGGTGATTGTAGAAATTTGAAAACCAATCTGGAATGTTCCACCAATCCCCAGGACAGGAATCATTTGAAAGAGCCCCTGGTACTGTGCCTGCAGAGGTAGAACAAAATCTCCTGAAGCTTATGGTCACATCAGGCTGTTCCTTAAATATGTCTTTCATTCTCCAGAAACATCTCATTTGTTCAAGTAATTTTCAGATAGGCATGTTCCCTCTGCTTGCCCGGTGTGAGGAATACATCCTCTACATCCAGCACAGGAAAATTCAGGCATCTGTTTGGAAACCGTTACATTTCCCTCCCCTTCTTGGCCATCAGTCAACAGAGTAGTAAAATGAAGGTCATTCCACACTCCAGGACTAATACATCTGAGAGTGTTTTGGAGAGGGAAGTCTTACTCTCCTCTCTGTGATCTGGATAGTGGCTGTGCTATCTGCAACTCAGACCTATGGCAACAATAGATACCAAGGCCATTTGTACCTGAAAGACCTTTCCTGTCTTAACTGAAAGAGCAGGTGCTCTGCTGGCTACCCATCGTAGCCTTGAGTAGTGGGCAGTGATAGTGGGCAGTGATCCCTCAACTCAAGTTTTGTGGCAAAGCCTCTGGAAATTGCTCATAGCAGCTGAAAATTCAAAAAGAAATCTGAAATGATCCAACAACCACATTGATGTAGCCTGAAGTATGTTTTTCCCCTCAGATTGCTCTCAGTGTGGCAGCCCTTTGGAAAACCATGTTTTTTACCTAGATAGAGAGGAGGGAATAACAGGGAGAACAGTTCTGGGCCAGAAGCTCCATTCTGCACTGGTTTTACTCCATCTCTGCAGGAGCAGAAAGGTGTCTGTCTTTTCTGACAGATCTGCCTCTTATTACCATGGGCAGTTCTGAACTCCTTCTCCTCCTGTCTGTATCAAGTAACATGAGATCTTAATCTCTTGGGAGCTTTGAGAGCAGGCATCACATTCTGTGATTTTTTTTCCAGTTGATTACAGATCCAAAAAACACACAGTGAAACTATTCTTAAGACTTATTACACTACAGCAGCCTTTGCAACAAGACACACTGAATATACTGTGAATGAATGAAAGAATTAGCAGCTTTTCAAAGATGCCTTGCCATATTCCTCTTCCCTAGATTAGAGGCCAAGAATGCCCAGCAGGAGCAGGGAGATGCTTTTCCTCAAAGAGGTGCTGTCCTAACAGGAGGTGTCTTGCTCATGTGTAAGGCAGCAGCTCTGAGTTGAGGACTCGGCCATAGCAAGGACATGGTTGCTGCAGGCACCCACAAACATCCTTCTCAAGCGGCCAGCCCTGTTTCCTGCCTTCTCTGCCTGCCATCTCTGGCACTAAATAATTAGTGAAATGTTTAACAAAACTATTTTTATAGCATGCAAGCCAAGCAAATCTATGTTTTTCTGTAAAGAAAAATGTTTAAGAAATGTTAAAGTATTGGTTAAAATGTGGCTAAGATGGATGAGAGAGCACACGAAGTGCAAACATCTGTAATACCTCAAAATGGTGGGCAGGACCACTTCTGAGAGGCTGTTAGTGAATAAGAGCCTTGTTATTTTTACTGAGATACTGATTTTGTTTTCTTTGAAGCACTACTGGTGTACAAAAATACCACAGCTGTAAATACCCCACCAGGTACTTACCAGGTCTGAGAGGAAGCCGGCCATCTCTGGCTAAGGGGCTGATTATCCAGTGTGTGATATGTCGTTGTCGTCACAGGTTTCCTTCTCTGTCTCCTGCCTGCTGGTGTGGCAATGGGCAGCTGGCTCCAGGGGCGAGAGTTAAATTTTTACTATTTTGTCTTTACTGTCTTATATTTACTGCAACTGGACAAAGTTAACACTGCTGGATTAAATATTTCAGGAAATAATTGCATCTAGTCCAGTCTGCAAGCAGAGAGGTTTCAAAGTAGAGGAAGTTTGCATCTACAGGCTAGTTAGGGTTTGGAAAGGGAAAGGAGAATAGCTCAGGCAAAAAATCAGTTTTTCTGCTACAGTAAAATACTTTACTTTTCTGATATAAGCTGAGGAGTATCTCTGCTGCAACCTGCACAAAGCAAAAAGGCACCTGGTATAAGGTTTAGATACTGGTGTTTATTATGAAGTAAAAATGTATTGTTGTGTTTTAGATTGGTTAGTACAGTAAATAAGTAAATATCATTTATTTGCTGAAAAATAGGCACGCAGCTCTGTTGGGCTTGAAGTACAAGTAGGAAATTTCAAAGCTTGATTCGGCTGTTCTGAGTTAATGTGTCAGATAGATACTAGGGATGGATATTTCATGTCCGAGTGTTAGGGGGATGTTTGTAGGCCAGGAGATGTGACAAGGTAAGGGAGATTGTGCTCTGGCAAAGGCTTTGGGGATATAGCATCTGGTCATGAAGGCTCCACTCCAAAATGATCAGTACCTGTAAAACCTGCTCACTCACTCACAATTCCTGCTTTCAAAGTCTTCTGCCTGCTCCTACTCATGCCAGGGGACTTTCTCCCCACCTCCAAGGCCTTGGGGTGGGGGGCAGATGATGGAGATGTACTCTTGGTACATGTCTGAGCTCACCCTTGAGACTTGTACTTTCAGTCCATGAAACACAGAATGCAATTATTTACAGAGGGGTTTAGTGCAAATACTTTGAGTCTAAAGAAATTAGGAGAAATACATGTTAATAACAAAACCTTGGTTTGTTACTTGTGTAATTCCAGCTATTGCCTATATAATTGCATAGCAAATGCTGTTTTTTCTGGCTTGCAATGGCATTTGGAGTGATTCAGCATTTTTGTGTTTTCTCTTTAACACAAACAATTGTAACATTTTGGCTGTACAGAAGTTCAAGTTGCGTAGCTATTAACTCATTCTTCTTTTGGTTTAAGATTTTAATATTTCTTTTTTATTCTATAACGATTTTTCTGAAATTGTATGAAAGTGTAGGGGATTTTTATGTGATAATGATTGCTACACTCCTTGCAAAATAATTGGTGAGGGTCTCAAATAGCAGCAAATTCCACCAGCTTGCAATGTAATTTCTGTTATATTTTTGGGACTTTCTTGTGATTCGGAGCTGCAGTTGACTGTATAGCATGGTACTGTTTCACCTTATCAGCAATTTTAGAAAAAATTGTGCTCAAGAGACTTTCACTGTTCTTTTTTCTCTAAAAGAGTCAAGTGCAGTGAGAAGTGGCTCATGGCTTTTTCTTCTGCCCTGTGCACTGATTCAAAAGCCAGCCATCATATATCACTTTTTTTTGGAACTCTGCTAAGGTGTTTTATAGTTCCCTATAGCTTGCTAATACTGCAGTTCTAAAGGAATTGTTAGTTATTAGAAATCGCAGATCTTAAAGAACTGATAAACGGGCAGAACATTCTGCCAATTCCCTCCTCCTGCTCCCTCAATATGTTCTCTTTAGCGTGGTGATTATGTTGCACTAAGCATTTCCCCAATTCCTGGCAAAGTTCACAATGGTAGGAAATAGGTTAAAAGCTAAGAACACTAAATGAGTAACTGAGGCAGTAATAATTATATACCTTGTGACACAAGGAAAACAGCTCTGCTGCATCCAGAATGCAGAGCTGACTCTGACTAGGGAAAAGGAGATGCTCAATTCTCTCCTCATTGCTACTTTCCCTTAAATAATCAGACCTGCTTTTTTTTTTTTCACTCAAATCTTTTTTACAATATATTCTCCCATTTTCCTTTGGACTCTACTGTTGCTCTCATTTTATTTATGTAATCTCAGTGCACTGGCAGACTGGTGACATGCTAATTCTCACAGTGATTTGCTCAGACATGGAAAACAAATATTAAAAGTCCAGTATAGTTACAGACAGGCAAGGGTCTGCTTAAGTGGAAAAACACGTAAATAAGGGTTAGTAAAACAGGGACAGTAAAAGGAGTAGAAATTGGCTATATGTCAAGGTTACAAAATAATTAGAAAGCACATTTAAAGAGATCTAGACTGCAGATCTGATTGTGGATGACTGAAGCCCTCTGCAGTTTAATTTCACACTCAAAAGAACAAAGCGGTTTCTCTTAGGTTTGATTTGTTATAATCCAAAACTCAAAATGAAATTCAGAATAGCAAAATCACAGGTATTGGAACTGAAGAAGACTTTTAGACACAAAATATTTGCTAAGGGAAATCTATATATTTAGCTGAGCGTGTATTGTATGTCATGATGGCTTGTTGGTTATTGACTGCTGTTGAGTTTTTAAGGGGGTATGAGGGTGACCTCCATTCATGAAGAGGCCACTTTTGTCTGTGAAGGAACATTTATATCTTTTCCAATAATGGAAAATAAATAATTTGCTTTTGTTTTATTTTGGAGTCTGCAGGTGTCAAAGTCCTCTATGACCTTAATTAATAGAGGGTCCTTCTGCTAACCAGCTAGAAGCTGGTGTAGGTGATGTGTTTCTTAAGAAAAGTATTTACTGTAACAGAATTAAGTCTTTTCCTAAAATGTAAGGTTGCAAAGCCCTCTGATATTTCCGTAACTGACTTCCCTTTGTCTTGGGAAGGAAGAGATAGATGAAGATCCCTGAGCTGATGAGGATCCCCATAAAGATAAGGAAGCAGAAAGAGCCAAGGTTTTCCTGGAAATAAACCAGAAACAGAGAAATAAGCATATTTTCCTTTTATTTTCCTTGTTATTGCATCTTGAACATGATTTCATGAGTTAGAAATCTAACCACTACAGTACTGAAGAAAGAGTGCATATAGTTAAGTACATCATCATGTGGTGTCTGGAATCATCTTCAAAATCATCAATGACAAGGGCAGTCACTTACCACAATAAATGGGAAAATCCTTCCAACAATAAAGAGTTCTGTCCAGTTGAAGCATCCTTCAGTCACAACAGCAGATGGTCTAGATGACTGATTGAAGATTTCAGCCATGATGGACATGGTGGCTCCACCTGAACAGAAAAAAATGAAGAAGGACAGAATTGGTTGTTTGGTTTTGTTTTGAATCTTCTAAGTTCCTCCTTCTTGTCCCAGTGTACGGTGATTCTGTCATGTTCAGTGTTACTGGTATGTGACTATGCCATTAAATAGTCAATGTCAGCATTACATTTCCCTGTTTCCTCATACTCATGTTTATGAGTTAAAGTCTTCAAACTCCCTTTTTATTTTATGGAATTACACTCACAGGCCCACCTCCAACTAAGATCCCTACAACAGTCAGGTAGCATATGCATATAATTATTTTTTGTGCAGGTTGATTTGCTTACACGGTCCAACTCCAGAAAAGAAAACGAAGAAGATCAGACTGACACTGCAGGAGGACATCCACTCATATTTAGTCTGGAGCTAAAAATTAATGGAGACATTTATTAGTAACAGTAGGATAGCAGGCTCTCCTGCTTTTCAAAGCTCTCGGGTAGCAAATGTTGAAATCTGGAAAAGACCACAGATCAGTCACAGGTATTTGTCAATGTGGGGCAAGCAGGAGAGTTTCTACAGCTGGATGTAGGTAGGAAACACTACAGAGAGCTTGGACACTTGTTCCTGGACAGACCTTGTGGTTTGAACCACAAAGAAGAGAATGTCTAAATAAAACTTCAGGAGTATCAGAGCACCTAACATAAAACAAAAGCCTTTGTAAGGCTAAGCATCTGGGAGAAGGCTATGGTATGTGATCAGGGCATTAGTAGGATAGCTTAGCTTCTATAGAGGAAGTTCTACAAAGTGAAAGTGATGGCTTAGGGAGAGAATGGAGTAGGACTTTAGGGAGAAGATCTGAGCATCAGTCCAACAATAGTCTGCATTGGCACATGGGGCTGGCTGCCAGGGCCAAGGTGTAGGACTTGACAGTTTGCCACGATGATGACAAGATTTCACTTTTCGGCAGTGTAAATCCAGCTTGTTTTGTTCCTGTGACGTGATACCTAACAGGCCTTAGGTGTGAAACAGCAAAGGGGAACAAAATAGTTAAAAAACTCCCTTACCTGAAGGGAGAGAGTAACTGTGAGGATAGCCAGCACCAAAGCCATCAAAGCATAGCCCTTCCACAGCAGTGTTTTCGTGCCAAACCGCTCAATGGTAAAGGTCTGGGAGGGCAGGAAAAACACTTACTTCACTGTAAGGATGGCTACAGCTTGAGTAACAAACTGATACAGCGCAACTTAACCCAGAGTAAAGTGGAGAAGAATTCACAGAGGCCAAGCCCTAATGATATATATGGAATAAGGTCTTCCTCAAACCCAGCTGAGTGCAGCAACTCGGAAGTATAGAAATAGACCTATAAAACACAATGGGAGAAGAAACTCACGTTGAAAGCGAGAGATTGCATGTGTGACATCACATCTAACGTAAGGACTGGGAAGCAAGCAAATGAGGTAATTTTCCAGCAGTGACCTGTCCATGTTGCTGGCTGTTGCGAATATACTTCATTTCAAGAATCAGTTAGGAGTGGAGCATGTCTTTTTAAAAGCTTTTCACATGCATTTGACAAAAAGAAACTGCTGTAATTAAATTGTGTCAGTCCTGATCATCATCTGATGCAAGTCTTCTGTGGTGCAGGAAAGCTAACAGATACACCAATCATCATCGATTGAAGTTGGACCTACAGAAGTGAAAATAGAGATCTTAATGATGGGTGAATTTCCTGGGGAAGACAAGGGAATACACATGAAGCTTTTTTGCCTCTTTTCACTGTTGCTACAGCTATTTCCAGCTCTGCTAGTTATGATGCCACTTCTAGTACTGTTTCGTTGAATGCCAACTGCAGGGTCTTAACAGTGATTTTGGCTCTGATATATGGGCCTGTACTGAAATAAATAAGGCACTTAAATTGCCAACTTCTTGGAGGTCACAGTCACAGCACTGAATCTGGGGCAGTAGTACAAAGAGGAGAATATTGAAAGAAAAAAGCCTAGCTTAGTCACTTAGTCTCTCCTTTTGAGAAAAAGATAGGGAGAGCTGAATAGTTAAAAATAATTTAAGAAGTTGCTTGCCGAAGTAGGAGAAATAAGGAGATCTTGGCATGGGGTTAAAGCAACAAGCAAACATTAATATTGCTGAGTTAATTGTATACTATCTGGTTTATCAGTAACTGCAAGAGATGCAGCAATAGCAAGCATTTGGAAGAAGAGGTATGGGAAAGGCCTCCTCAAGTTTGCCACTTCGGATTTGTGGAACCTGAGAGAATGCATGCTTGAGATGGAGGGTTGAGAAGGAATTAGTGAAGGTAGCAAGGCTACCCATGATGGAGTGATTTCCTACAGGAGACTCTGGAGCTAAATCAGAGTGAGCTTTCCTGTATTTCGTAAGAGAGGGACAGAGGGATCCAAGGCTCATGCTTCTAAAGCTGACATAGCGCTATATGACAGGAATAAACAGTCCCTGTGCAATGTTCTGGGCTGTGCTGCTGCAGAGACCAGTTCCTGCGAGAGGACCAGCAAAGACAAGATGGCACTGACCAAGATTACAACAGAGCTGAATGCCTGGTGGATTTAGTCCTGCAAGAAGGCTTGGGAATCCTGAAAAGAAGATATGACAAAGAGGAAGAAGAGAGTAAAAACAGAGAGAAAGGAACTGACAAATGAAAGTGGAAGTTATCATAGCAGAATGCACTATTGATCTGGTACAGTGCCAACAGTGAATGCTGATCCTCACTTGCATTCTTCTGCCTATCTAGTTAGCTGCACAATGGCTTTAATAAGCTGTGCAGCCCAGTTCAGGAGTGCTATCACTTACACTTGCACCATATGGTGAAGTCTGTGCAAGCTGAGGAAAAGAATGGCACGAGAGAAAATAAATTTTATATATGTGTTTCCATAGGTCTCATGTTATTCTTATTTGTAAACAGGCAAATCAAGCATTAGAAATTCCCCTTTAAAAGCATAATTAGAGAAGCTGCAAGTTGTATAGAAGCACTGCCACAGAGGGATGAGGGAAAAGGGCATCAGGGCAAAAAGAAGCACAAGGTTTCGTCCTGGATGCAAGTAGCACCTTGTTAGTCTTTTGGAATCCATGGGACTTTGGGGAGCAGGAGCTGCTGCAGGCAGGTTGGCACGAACCAGTCTGCCCCCAGCACTATTGCAGAATAAACGTCCATAATTCAGAAGTCCTCTTCTTAAATAATACGTTGCATTTATATAGCACATAGCCAGCTCAGTGAAGCTCTCTCTTTCTCTGTTAGATAGCGGATAGTGAATACTCATTTTCCACTTACAGAGAGGTAGATGGAGGGGCGAAAACATCCAAAGCAAAGCAGAAGCCAGGTAATGGCCTGGAGTAAATCTCAGGACCGCTTGACTACCACCAACATAAAACTTCTTTTATTGTGGCTACAAGCTTAAACTGCAGAATTTCCTCATTGACATCTAGGAGTTGCTTTTAGGCATGAAGTGGGAAGATACCCAACTGCATTAATACCAAAGAATTGCAGAGTTACGATAACAATAATCAAAATGCACAGCTGCCGGTGGAGAGTTTGATCTTTTGTCACTTTAAGCACACTCAGGATTTTGATGGTTTTCATTGCTGCCTTTTCTTTTTAAAGATCATCCAGTTCTGCCTGCTGCTCTCCCTCACTGCACAGTTTCTTCATGGCTGTGCAGAACAAAGAGGAAGGCTTGATATAATTCATGAATCATCCTGTTGGTAGATGCACATTTACTTAGATTTTTAATTAATTATACCCCTAAGGTTTCAGACATGGTGATTATTAGAAAGTGTGGGGTGAGAATACCAGTGATGTATGTTTATATACATGAAAACTGTATTCACAGTCTTGCAGAAAATGAGGCCCTATCTCACAGTCATTGGTATTTAACACTTAACTGTTAGTATTAAACACTTAACACCATGCCATTGTCAAAACATTGGTGCATTCTCTGCTCTGTCCCTTTCCCTGTCTGATTACATAGCCCTTGTTACAACACCTTAGAAGTGTCTTCCTTGAAGTTGAACATAGAAACTATGGCAACAGTCACTGGCAGCTCTTTATGCTCATAGTGAAGCACCTTGATTCATTTAAAGGGCTTTTTGTGTGTGTGCATGTGTATATTCATGTAGAATTGCATACCCCATCAGTATCCTGATGGACTTATTGGAAAGAAAGTAAATTGAAGATTGATCTAATATACTCAGTTTGCTGACAAGATGAGATAGCTCCTGGTACGCTCTCTGCTGTTCCAGTTAGGTTGTGGTACCCAGATTTAAAATTACGTTACCCATTTAAAATTATGTTACCTAACATCTGCACATTTGAAGGTTGCGAAGTCTCCACTGGCCACTCCTAGCTCACAGAAGGGAACTCCTTGATATAGGCCCTCTCCTGTCTAGACCATCAAAGACCCATGGAAAGTTCATTCTTATGTCTCAAGGACACTAGCTGTTGGCCAAGTTTTTCACTGTTGCACTGCAACATAGCTGTCATAAGGGAACTATCCTCTCCCTGGGTTCCTCCTGCCTCCTGGAGGGTTTTCAAACTCAGGGCTTAAATCCTGACCTGAACTGCACGCTAAAGGTGGAGTGAGAGCAGAGCGCAGAGCCCTGGAACCGTTGTATTCCCCATAATCTCTGCCGTTATACAACTGGCCTACTGAATAGGTAATTTCAGTGGTTTTTTGGAAACGTAAGGCTTCCTTTGCAGACATCTGAATTGTGGTAGTCACAGCTGGGGTCACTTGTATCACCACTGTCCCATCTGACTCTAACTGAGGTAAAACAAAAGCCAAGAGTGACAAATATACAGCTTACCCTGCAAGCATCCTTCCTCGTTTCCTTTCTAGATTAAGAGGTAGTGTGGAGACTCTGGAAAGAATGGCAAAGTGACCAGGTGAATCAGCGCTGCAATGCCAGCACAGGCCATCAACAGCAGCCACAAGGAACCAGTTCCAAGGAGTTCACTAGAAAGTACAAGCAAAGAAAACATTATAAAATGTATTTTAATTTAATGACTTTGTTTCAGCTAGAGATTCTAGTAAATACCTTAGCCCCATAAGTTGCCCTAAGACTTTTCCCAGTGACCAAAAGAGACGTGAAGCAGAATTTGCAAATCCACGCAGCTTCTTAGGAGAAATTTCTCTTGCATACTGAAGATACATCATCACGCAGAAACCTTGATGGATGTGAGGGGGGGGTGGAGACAGGAACATTATGAGAGAAAGAATTTAAGTTCATGTTTTGTTTTATCATGCCTTGATTTATTAATTGTATGTGTCATAAGCTAAGCTTGTAGAGATAAACTGTCCCCCAAATGCGCAGGAACTGCTGAGTTTGGACCCTGTCCCCCAGTCTGCATATCAGTAGCATTATGTTTTGTGAGCATATCACCATCCCTGAGGTGTGTGAGGTCCCACCTGCACTCATGCCATAGAGGAGGTGTCCAATCAGAATCATTTCAAAGGACTTGGCCAGCTTACAGAAGCCTAAGAGAAATACAATGACTGTGATAAGCAGATTGTCGTACATTAGGCAATGGTGCACAGGAAACTTTTATGGAAACGGTAATCGGCTCAAAATGATTTTGTATTCCATTTGCAAATATCTTTCCTGTAACTCTGTGCTGTACTTCTAGGATTATCATGTCATCCGGCCCAGTAGTGCTCTATTCAAGCGCCCAAAAGGCTTGCTTACTCTTGGGCTTAGGCATGAGATCAGAGACGAAAAGTCTGTACTGTTGTGAGAACTGCAAGGAAATCTTTAATAAAAGCATTATACTTCTGTTTTTATATTTTATCGCCTAAACACCATCTAGTGCTGCGCACCCTGCATATAGGCACTTTTTCAATACTGATTTAGAAGGAATTCGTAGCCAATGCTAACTCACTAGTCCTTTAGAGGGAGAACATTTTGTACTGGGGCCCACAAGGCTTTGGCATAATTGATGTAATGAAGCATTTCACTTTGCTATGAAGCTTCTGGCATGTGTGTCCATCAGATCATAAGGACAGCTGTGGCTTAGGGAGATGAGTGATCACGGTATTCATATCTAAGAGAGGTACACAGCAAATCTAACTTCAGGCCCTCTCTGGTGTTGATTAGCACTGTGGGAGGTGGGGAGATAGAACGGAAGAAACATGCTGAAGAGTTAGGAAAACAGAGGGAGAAAATTAACTGAGGAAGGATGTGTTGGAGTAGAAGTGGATTTGGAGGTTTAAGTGCTTTGATATGGTCAGATGGAGGACCTGCATGGAACAGTGTGAGCACAAGTAGCTGAAAATATAAAAAAATAGTTACAGGAAGTGAGATGTGAAGTGCACAAGTGCAAAAAGACATGAGAC